CTGTTAGGAACACAACATCGAAGTGGGCCCTTAACTATCACTTGGAGCCGTTCAGAACTGGCTCTGGGAATCATTCAGTACAAATATCGAAAGTACAGGGAACATAAAGTAAATAAAAATACAATTAGAAACCAAAGCCCATGAACTAATATTTCCTCACAGGTGCTGGAATAAGATGAATCCAACTATTAACAGCAGCCCAGACTCCCCTTCCCCCCAGGACATAACTTACCCCCGGCTCCACTGCAGATTCAATGCTGTGCCACAGATGGCATCGATGGGACCACCGCCCGTGTTGAGCTCAATCTGGACAGGCGGCGCTTCTCCGGACAGCCGCGGAGACTACTACGACGGCCCGCACGAAGAGTACTCCGACGGCCGCTACGATGGCGACTACAAGGGCGACTACTCGACTACTCCCTCAGCCTCCTGGGATTCATCCTGTCCCTGGCGGCGCTCCTGAAGAAGACCGTCAAGGAGCTGGTGTTCCAGATACGCCTGCACCTCGTGCTCTAGGGGGCAGCCATCGAGCAGAAAGCAGCAAGCAGTATCCAATCACACACTGACAGAAGACAAACGTCCACACGCCCGACACTTCACCCCTCCCCTCAGAGATGTTTGCACTTCCATTTGGGCATCTATTTTCGTTGATGCCAGAATCGCAATGCACGGAATCGTCTCTCCGTTTTTGGCCGCAATGAAAATATATGCCGAAATATTCGAAATTCAAAGTCAAATTCAAACTCAAGAGTTTCCAGTCGATCAGATATATCGTATATGCATATTACGATCCGTTTCGTTTGGACGGGAGCTCATCCCTCATCGCCGTGATTGCATTTATTATTATTATTTTTATTTCGCTGCATATTTGTTCTGCAATTTATTCAATGATAAATGGAGGAGGAGAGCATGCAGCAGCAACAAAACATTTCCGCTGCAGCATGGGACCTTTGTTGCCCCCAATTGCAGGCCCCCGCATACGCACTTCGGAGGCACGGAATCGACCAGAAGCGGCAGCAAATGAATCATTAAATATTCACTGTACTCGTGTTGATTCAGTGATAGTGATCAAAACAACACAACAAAAGCGTCATCATCCACGATCCACGATCCACGACCCATGATCCATTTTCAGGGCTCTCTTGGGCGCTGGTTGGGGTACGCCTCCGATTTCAATCCCTTGCCACACGGGCAACCCGAGCAAGCCCCGATATGTAAACAGAGTCAAGACTACCTGTGCAAAGGGGGCCAAGGGAGGCGCCGGCTCTTCTTGGGATCCGATTACCGAAGCGATTGCATAAGACTCGGCCCGGAAGTGGACATACTCGTGTGCAGCCCTTTCGCCCGTCTATGGATATTCCCATTTGTGATTACACTCTGTAGCGCCACAGCAGCTCTTATAGTCTTTGAGCACTAGGCGCTGAAGGGGACGGACAGACGGACGGACGGACGGACAGACAGACAGGGCTCAATCGACTCGGCTATTGATGCTGATCAAGAATATATATACATTATGGCGTCGGAAACGATTCCTTCTGGAAGTTACACACATCCACTTTTACCACAAATCTAATATACCCCAATACTCATTTTGAGTATCGGGTATAAAAATTGCAAACAGAGATGCAAAAAAAAACAAAACAGGGAGAAAATCCCTACTGCAGTCATCGACTGCGATACAAACTCTTGCGCTTACGTATAATTACGTATAAAATATGTTCTATGTACATAAATAATCAACCAATTTCTTTTCGGTTTTATTTGCCGATCGTTTTCTCACATGATAATTATAGTACAAGAACAAAGAATACAATAAGTATAGACAATTGAAGAGATTACTTGGAAGAGTAAAATTTTTTATTAGTTGAATTTATGAGTAAAGCGCTTGTCGAATAGTTATTTGTAAGAGCTAATATCTCAAGTGGCTTCAAAGTCTTAACTTAATAGCAAACTTAAACATGTCTGGTCGGCGAAAAGTCATTGAATACAAGAAAACCATACTGCATCTAAATATGGGATACACAAAACACGACTATTAGCATCTTACATTTAACTATTCTGAAACAGTCGTTGTGGCTTCTTCCTTAGGCTCTTCAGGTTCATCCAGATTCCTTCCGTCATTCAACTGATCCTGCTGGACATCTACTGACGACTGCTTTTGTTCGCTTGGAGCTCGTGGCTGCTGGGTTCGTAGAAGACTATCGAGTCCGCCAAAAGGAGCCTCAATGATAGCATAAAGTACATACGACATCAAAATAGTGATCCCAATGACAGACCAGATTCTACCCGAGTCCCAGTTAAAGTTCCGAAGGGCAAAAATTAAAAATTGCTTTTGCACGGATTCAATAACAGCCTGCTGCTCTTTATACTGCGGGCTCCACACACAAGAATAATACTCCAATATAGGACGTACTAACGAGATGTACAGTTGTTTCGTAACGTACGGGTCGTCAAACTCCTTGGACCAACGCTTGATGAACGCTAAAACACCCTTAGCTTTATTTACAGTTGCACCTATATGGGTATAGCATATCCGACTCCATGTCCAAGAACCACCCAGAACAGGGACATACAGCGGATTCCATCAAGACAACTGATCACGTTCGGATTCGATTTGCTGTCGACAATGCGGAAGATGGCAATTGAACTTGACCGTGCCAAGCAAATCTTCACAGTCACAGCGATACTACCTGGTAGGCAAAATACGAGTTAAATCATTTTGTAAATCATTCCGTTCTCTCCGTTACTCACTCTGAACCTGGCACAGAAAGTAGTCGTTGAGCGTGCATAGACCCACGATAGTACCCATCAAGCCAAGAAGTACACTGCAATCCATAGTATGAGTCACAGAATTTGATTATGATACGGTCTAACTTACACTGTGAAAATGGTCATTCCATCCCAAGGTTTCGATTCACTTGTCTGACAGCTGGCCTCGCTGAATTTTATATTTGTGCTGCTTGAGTTCAACAAATTCTGCATTAACTGCTCCAGAAACGTATCCATACGTGCCGCAGAGCAGGAAGCCGGAAAGCAAGATGCGATCTTGATCGAAATGGATACGGCGGGTACATTTAGAAAACAGTACTTTCCATGTATGCTGTGACTACTGGTGATCTCCTCGCTGATCTTGGCACACTCATCGAAGTTACCCAGATGGTAGGCATTGCCGGACAGCACTCCTGAGGGAATGGAGCCCCAAGCATCGATCACTGCTCACAAAATTCTCATTCACTTGAATATAATTTTCATTATTTACTTACTCTTAACGGCCCATAATTTTCCAGCAGTAAGCGCCTGCATGAACTGCGCCATGTCCGCGAAACACAACAGATCCTCCTGACTGGGTATTCGGGGGTGGAATAGATCCAAGTCCGGGAGCGATGCATTACGGAAGTGTTCGGCAAACTCGACTCCCAGCGGTCGGAGCCTTTTTAAACGCTGGTAATCTTGCAGGACATCTCCGTCTTTCAGTTGTGCGGCAATGATAAGTACCAGTCTGCAGACAAGTAGACTGCTTAAAACGTTCACCATGCTAATACTTTTTCGATTGAAGGCATTGCACCTTTTGACTGTGATTTTATAGGAATGTTTTGAGGGAAATCTGGCGATAACATTATCAGTGTGTCAGCTCTCGAGTCGAGTATATCAGCCAAAATGCTTAATTCAGTCGAACATCACCGATAAAGAGCAATCCGTCTAAATTCTAAGTAGTCACAAGCTCATTTATTTATAATCTTTTCCCAGGTAATCGTTTTACTTATTGACTTTTGATGGATTAAATTTGGTTTTAATATGAGTGAGTAAGAAAAAAACGGAGAAAACAAAAGTTTAGCTAAACATGGATGTAGACAATTTGTTCTATAATTCTGATCATTGCGTGAAAAGATGATAGCCGGGGTGCAATTATTACCATTAGTGGTGGCAGATCCTTTCTTTGTTTCAATGTTTTTTCCAATTCCCATGACATGTAGCAGCAAAATGGCGATAGTTCGTGAAGAGATTTCGCCTCCCCGGAACAACCAAATCTAAAACGAGGGGGAACGTTGTGAGTTGCTGCGGACACCGCAACTCTACATTTATACCCGATACTTAGTCAGTATGGCTCTCCTCCGGCAGAGGCCGCTAATATTAAACGACACGACAAAGAGTGCGTGCGAGAGAGACAGAATATCAGTCTGAGCGTGACGTCGGGCGCTGCGTAGCCACCGCAAATTGATTTCTTGCTTCTGGCTACAAAAATGATCCGATCTGATCCAGATTCAGCAATCTGATAGATGTCGTCATTATCTATGATTCTGCGTTTTTAGTTTTCTCGAATGTACAATATTGTGAATGCAACAGATTTTCGTCCTTTTTGGGGTCGGAAGGGGGTGGGGCGAATTTCTGAGATATACGCTTTATAGTGAGGTCTAACGGAAGTGCGGATACCAATTTTGGTTACTCTAGCGATAATAGTCTCTGAGATTTGTGGATTTTCGTCCTTTGCGGGGGCGGAAGGGGTTGTGCCGAAATTGGGACACGAAACGGTCAGGGTCCGATATCACAGGAGTGTGGATACCAAATTTGGTTGCTCTGGCTCTTATAGGTTCTGAGATCCTTGAACTCATATTTTGCAATTGGCAAAACCGACCTTGAAACCTGTGTGTTAGAGAGAGACAGAGCGAGAAAGAATGAAATTGTTTTATTGATTCTGGCTATAATAATTATACGATCTGGTTAAGATTTTACATTCTAGAACATATAAACATCCTCTACGATTCTGCGTTTTTGGTTTTATCGTATCTTTAAAAATGTGGATGCCACAGATTTTCGTTCTTTGTGGGGCGTTTGTGGGCGGGGCGAAGTTTTGAAATATTTTTGTGGCGTTGTGGGGTGGGGCTAGGAGAACTGAAAAGAAGGGAGAATCTGTTAGGAACACAACATCGAAGTGGGCCCTTAACTATCACTTGGAGCCGTTCAGAACTAGCTCTGGGAATCATTCAGTACAAATATCGAAAGTACAGGGAACATAAAGTAAATAAAAATACAAATACAAAACAAAGCCCATGAACGAACATTTCCTCACAGGTGCTGGAATAAGATGAATCCAACTATTAACAGCAGCCCAGACTCCCCTTCCCCCCAGGACATAACTTACCCCCGGCTCCACTGCAGATTGAATGCTGTGCCACAGATGGCATCGATGGGACCACCGCCCGTGTTGAGCTCCCTCTGGACAGGCGGCGCTTCTCCGGACAGCCGCGGAGACTACTACGACGGCCCGCACGAAGAGTACTCCGACGGCCGCTACGATGGCGACTACGAGGGCGACTACTCGATGCCCACCGAGGAGGACCAAGAGGAGGAGTCGTGCTCTTGTCAGAGCCAGACCTGTCAGAGCCAGAGCGAGTTCAGCTCGATAGAACGCACCGAGTCGGACTCGGAGTGGGAGGAGCTCTCCGACGGCCCTTCCCCCAGGGTCTCCCCGCTGGAGTCCCTCGGCGCAGTCGTGCTCTCCACAATGCAGCCGGAGCACCGTCTACGCATGGTGGCCTTGTACCACCTACAGATGCTGTGCTGCGCGGTGTTCTGGCTGGTCGAGAAGACCGTGGGCGTCAACGAAACCGTCGGCTCGACGCGCCTCCGATTGTGGAACAAGTTCAAGCTGCGCACCATCCAGCGCCAGTTGCTGTGGCGCATGGCCAATGCCCGGGGCGTGCTCATGACCACGCCCTGGCTGTTCTTCCTCAGCCTCCTGGGATTCATCCTGTCCCTGGCGGCGCTCCTGAAGAAGACCGTCAAGGAGCTGGTGTTCCAGATACGCCTGCACCTCGTGCTCTAGGGGGCAGCCATCGAGCAGAAAGCAGCAAGCAGTATGCAATCACACGCTGACAGAAGACAAACGTCCACACGCCCGACACTCCACCCCTCCCCTCAGAGATGTTTGCACTTCCATTTGGGCATCTATTTTCGTTGATGCCAGAATCGCAATGCACGGAATCGTCTCCGTTTTTGGCCGCAATGAAAACATATGCCGAAATATTCGAAATTCAAAGTCAAATTCAAACTCAAGAGTTTCCAGTCGATCAGATATATCGTTTATGCATATTACGATCCATTCCGTTTGGACGGGAGGCCACTTGCTCATCCCTCATCGCCGTGATTGCATTTATTATTATTATTTTTATTTCGCTGCATATTTGTTCTGCAATTTATTCAATGATAAATAGAGGAGGAGAGCATGCAGCAGCAGCAAAACATTTCCGCTGCAGCATGGGGCCTTTGTTGCCCCCAATTGCAGGCCCCCGCATACGCACTTCGGAGGCACGGAATCGACCAGAAGCGGCAGCAAATGAATCATTAAATATTCACTGTACTCGTGTTGATTCAGTGATAGTGATCAAAACAACACAACAAAAGCGTCATCATCCACGATCCACGATCCACGACCCATGATCCATTTTCAGGGCTCTCTTGGGCGCTGGTTGGGGTACGCCTCCGATTTCAATCCCTTGCCACACGGGCAACCCGAGCAAGCCCCGATATGTAAACAGAGTCAAGACTACCTGTGCAAAGGGGGCCAAGGGAGGCGCCGGCTCATCTTGGGATCCGATTGCCGAAGCGATTGCATAAGACTCGGCCCGGAAGTGGACATACTCGTGTGCAGCCTTTTCGCCCGTCTATGGATATTCCCATTTGTGATTACACTCTGTAGCGCCACAGCAGCTCTTATGGTCTTTGAGCACTAGGCGCTGAAGGGGACGGACAGACGGACGGACGGACAGACAGACAGGGCTCAATCGACTCGGCTATTGATGCTGATCAAGAATATATATAGTGACATATCCATAATTCCCCACATCCCATACACATTATGTTTATGTACAATTCATCCACCCCATCCACACAAGTAACAGGACCCCACTCAAGAATCAATAACTGTTTCTTCCCATACTCCAAGCTAGGGCCCCCCATAATATAAACAATGGACCACATTGTTTCAGCAACATTAGAATCACGCCACTCTCGAGAAATCGATTCTTTAGAATCACGCCACTCATGAGGACCAATCAAAGCTAGACATAAAACCAAGGAGTATCACATTCCTAGCTCCGTCATGTAATGCAACACCGATCGCCAGCAGTGGATGCCTTTCATCAAAGCCGACGCATCCCCAAATATCGATCCAGGCAGAAGCCAGAGTCGGGAGTTCCAAGAGAAGGGCTCATGGAAACTAGCCAGCAGCAGAGAGATCAGTTCCGTTTGAGACAAGCAGACCGAAAGTCAAGTCGGGGAATTCATTTAAATCTTGTGACATAAAGATATTTAAGTTGTAAAATAAAAGTCTTTGTTAAAAAACTTAAAATCGAGTTGCGGATATTTAACTGGCGCAGTCGGTAGGATTTCGTTTAAAATTAACACCTATATTTCGGTAATGGTCAGCTTGTGTAATTTATAATTACTGTGATCACGTAATCCCGGAATTGTTAATAAAATTGTGAAATCCGCCAAAGAACCTATGTGCTGCAAGCACATACGATTTGCAAAACTAATTTAAGTGAACTGAAGTAAGCGGAGATAGTGAATCACCAAGGACAGTGAAACACTTAATACAAAATCAAAAAAACTTACAAGTGAACCAAAATAAAGTTAAAAACTACAACAAAACAAAACCCAATCAACACCAACAACATGGCGTTACCACCACTATCATTGAGCGAAATCCACTTGAACCAGGCACTGCTGTCGATCCGACAAATACCTGCCTATGACGGTTCATCTGGACAGCTAAGCTCATTTATCAAACGAATCGAATATGTATGCGGATTATATCCAACTGAAGATCTTCGCCAACAAAGGATCCTATTTGGAGCGACCGAGATCCAACTGTCAGGAGAGGCACAACGCATATCGCAAATGATACAACCCAACACGTGGCTCGAACTGAAGACGGCGCTGATCAACGAGTTCAAAAATCACACACCATATGAAGAACTCTTACGACAACTATACACCACCAGATTCAACGGCAGTCTTCGTAGGTTTATAGAAGAATTAGAGATAAAAGCATTATTAATAAACAATAAGCTAAACTTAGAAAACATACCAGAAAATAATGTCATTTATAAAAACGCTTTGAACAACACAATTAAAGATGTCAGTACTCGAAAACTTCCTGACAGAATGTTCATGACCTTAGCAAGAAAAGATATTACCACATTGTCTAATCTTAAGAAGGCAGCACAAGAAGAAGGATTGTACGAAGCTAGTACAACAGATTCAGGTACAAATAAAGATCAATCGAAATCGTCTCAATCAAATCGAAAGAATGTTGGAAACTATTATCCAAATTATAATACTACTAACTATCACAATCAAACTCAGAGTTCATCTGGAACAGGTCAGACTAATCGAACAAATCAAAATCAAAATTCCCAAAATCCTGGATTATACAATGAGTTCAAAAATTCCTTGAATCAAGGTAGGGCTCAGAATCCATTCAATCAGCAAATATCTCAAAACCAAGCTAGTGGGAGTGGACCCAACCAACCTACTAAAAGAGGGAGGGAGAGCCAGAGTGGCCAAACGAAGATGGACGTAAATTTTCATCAAGCCGCCTCGGAAGAAACCGAGGAGGACCCTATATAAACATTACCATTAATAAAAGAATATTAAGGTGTATCGCTGACTCGGGATCATCGATCAACATCATGAAAGAAAATTACACAGATTCCGAGATAAAAGACGATAACCTTACGGTCCATACCATCAATGGACCTGTCCGTTTAACTAAGAGTATAATGAGGAATGCGAACAAAACATGTCCGTCCGAACAAAAGTTCTACATACATAACTTTTCCGAAAATTATGATATTTTATTAGGAAGAGAATACTTGATGGCAAGTAAAGCCGTCATCGATTACAGAAATGACACTGTAACACTAGCAGCTAGGTCGTACCCAATCATTCAGAGTGGAGAAGCTATTGAAGCCGGCAAGACCGCACAGAAGTGCACTGATCCCTCTACAAAAGAAGAGAAGATCGCACCTAAGTGCCTTGACCCATCTCCAGAGGGAGATCAATACTTCGCTTCCGCTCTAGACAGTGAACTAAGGGAATGTAATCAATTAAGATTGGAACACTTAAACGACGAAGAGAGGGAAGAGTTAAAGAAGGTCTTATAGAGTTTAAGGATGTGCAGTACAGAGAAGGTGACAATTTGACTTTCACAAGTACAATCAAGCACGAGATCAAAACTCAACATGAAGACCCGGTCTACAGACGACCATACATATATGCCCAGATACATGATCAGGAGGTAAACCAGCAAATCAAAGATATGATCAGGCAGGGAATAATTCGAAAGTCGAATTCTCCTTACTGCTCGCCCATATCTATGATTCCGAAGAAGATAGATGCTTCAGGAAAGCAAAAATATCGAATGGTAGTAGACTATAGAAGTCTAAATGAAATAACAGTTAAGGACAAATTCCCAACTCCAAGAATGGATGAAATCCTAGACAAACTAGGTAAATGTCAGTATTTTACGACAATCGATTTAGCAAAAGGTTTCCATCAAATACCCATGGAACCTAGCTCAATCCCCAAAACTGCGTTCTCCACTAAGCATGGACATTACGAGTTCACTCGTATGCCCTTTGGGCTAACCACTGCCCCAGCTACCTTCCAAAGATGTATGAACAATCTGCTAGAAGAGTTAATCTTCAAAGATTGCTTTGTATACTTAGATGACATCATTATATTTTCCACTTCATTGGAAGAACACTTGTTGTCACTAAGGAGAGTATTTGGAAAGTTGAGAGACGCCAACTTGAAGCTACAAATGGATAAATGTGAATTCATGAAAAAGGAAACTGAATTCCTAGGTCATGTAGTCACTACTGAAGGAATAGTACCAAATCCAGGCAAAATCTCTGCCATTGTCAAATTTCCAATACCAGAAACGACTAAACAAATAAAGTCATTCTTAGGTCTGTGCGGGTTCTACAGGAAATTCATTCCTAATTTTGCAAACATAGCAAAACCCATGACACTCAAACTAAAGAAAGGAGCTGTCATAGACCCCAAGGAAGAAAGGTACGTCGAGGCATTTGAGAGACTAAAAGTACTCATCACCTCAGACCCTATCCTTGCGTTCCCAGACTTTGACAAAATGTTCACGGTAACAACCGACGCTAGTAACATAGCATTGGGAGCGGTTTTGTCACAAGAACACAAACCGATCTGCTACGCTAGCAGAACCCTAAATGAACATGAAATAAACTATTCAGCCATCGAAAAGGAATTATTAGCGATCGTATGGGCAACCAAGTATTTCCGTTCATACCTGTTCGGTAGAACATTCGAGATACAAAGCGATCATAAACCCTTGATTTGGTTGAACAACCTCAAGGATCCAAATATGAAATTACAAAGGTGGAAAATAAAACTGAATGAGTTTGATTTTAAAATGAAATATCTACCAGGCAAAGAAAATCATGTAGCTGATGCCTTATCAAGGGTAAAGATTAATGAAAATCTCCTGGGAGAAGCTTCCAATAGCGTTGGTGCAACTGTACATAGCGCACAGGAAGACAATCTAAATCACATTGCTATCACGGAAAGACGAATTAACTATTACAATCGGCAAATTGAGCTAATAAAAGGCAATGAAGATAAGGTAGAAACAATTCGTTATTTTCACAAGCTAATCATCAAGATCACGTATAAGGAAATGACTAACACCTTAGCGAAGGATATAATAAAGGAATATCTATGCACCAAAAAGAGCGCATTATATTTCCATAACGAAACAGATTTTCCTCCATTCCAAAAAGCCTATTTAGAAATCATTAATTCTAACAATATAACCAAAGCTATTAAATCAAGCACGAAACTCCTAGATATTCAGAATTACGCTGAATTTAAAGAAACCATATTAAAGAATCATAAAGGCTTACTCCATCCAGGGATAGAGAAAACCGTCAATTGGTTTAGGGGAAAATACTATTACCCGGATTATCAAAAACTAATCCAAAACATCATAAACGAATGTCCTACTTGTAATATTTCCAAAACAGAGCATAGAAATACGAAGTTGGCATTCGAAACTACACCGGAAATACTGAACATCAGAGAGAAATACGTCATGGATTTCTATATGGTTGGTAACCAACAG